AAGGAAGGGAGACCTGGACCTACTTCCAAAAAGCAGCCAGAGAAAACCCCTCGGTCATGATGGTCTGATTCACAGCCGATGGTGGGACGTGCAGGACAGGGTGGGGTTTCATTCTGTTGTGTGTGAAGTCGCTATGAGTCAGGCCAACTGAACAGCATCTAACAAGACCAGCAACAGGGTTGTAATAAACTCCTAGCATGTCAGGAGTTCTGTGTCAGTGTTTGCTACTGCCATCATAGTTTTATTATTATTATTGTGATTTGGAAGTTTACAGAGCAAATTCATTTTCTGTATAGCAGTTCATACACATTTTGTTTCATGACATTGACTGCAATTCCCCACAATGTAACAGCTCTCTTCCCACTTCTTCCCCATAGTTACCTCTTCCCTGTGTCCTTCTCTCCCGTGCACTGCCACTGCTCACGCTGTCTCCCTGTCCAAACACTGCTCTTCTATTCTCCCATGACATCGACAGTATTCTTGGCTCTTCTTCCTGGGGTCTGTCCTCCCCTGAGCTGGGGCTAGCAATGCCCCCAGTGGGAGCCTCTTGAGTAGCCTCCATTTCCCTGCCCAGAGTAGGCCATTTCCACTGCCTCTTCCACGCAGTGTACAGTGCTCAGGAGCCCTCTAGGATCTGTTCTGAGAGCAGGTGGCTCACCTGACCATGGTGGCCTCTAATGACCAGTCGAAGGGGCTGTTGTGTAGGATGCCACAGTGAATAAGTGCTATCACTATCCACTGAAAAGAGCAATTGTTTCTGATAAGGCCTCTCAGAATCTTGGCATTTCAGCAACCTGGGGAACAGGGGCTGGCTGGTCTCGGTGCTGGGAGGAGGCTGTGCTCAGAGAAAAGCTGTGGTCACTTGTGCTAACCATGGAATTGCTAACTAGACAATGTCCTTTAAGAAGCCAGGGATGGAGAGCTCTCCGTGCCTGGCCACAAGTCCATGCTACAAAATAGTTAAATGAATGACATTGGGTCACAAGCCTGGGGTGGGGTGAATGGGCAGGGGGATATGACAATAAAGAGAAGCCAGGGTCTCTACCATCAGGAGATGGCAGTCTAATTGAGGGAGAGTTAGCATGAGGCTTTGTGCTGTCCGTTTGGACTTGGTTCGGCAGACACTAAGGTGATGTTGGCTGTGGTCAGCAGCAGGATGGGGCTTGCTAGGTGGGCACTAAGGAGTTGGGGAGGCCAGAGAACAGCCCGAGCTGGCCTGGGTCTGTGCAGGCACTTGGTGT